ATTAAATGCATTGTCAAATTTCATGCGAACAAAGCCATGGGTAATATCTAGTCTCTTTACTGTCGAAACAGTCTAGTTTGAAATATTCTGTTCTACCAGCACTTATATCTTGCTTACTTGTTTTTTTTTTTCTTTTATTTCGTTTATTTTTGCCATCAAAATGAAATTAAATTGGGGCATACACACAAAAACAGTCACACTTCCGTGTCAAGAATTGTATTTATATACATACATATTTATCTATTATAAAATTGTTCGTAACTATTTTATGCACGAAATTTATATCAAGTCTTATCGCTTCCTTTCCAGCGCGTTTTCCTGTACCATTTTCCATTTTTTGCTGTAGAGACAAAAAAAAAAATAGTGTAGTCTTCTTTAATAGCAAAGGGATGTTATATACTAGAATTGTACATAATGTATGAGTCATTGTTCGAATAACCGAGAATCGCTGCAGTTAATATAAACATAATATTGTATAGTTAGTACAGAACATCAAATGTTTCATATAAATTTCTATTGCTTACCAATTACAAAGCGAAAAAAAAAATTAGAGACATAATATTAAAGCTATTTTAACCAAGATATTTAACATCCATATACCTGAAGTGGACTCATCAAATAACACATGTTTTATATATTTTTTTTATAAATTTTTTTGTATAAACAAATTACAACTGTCACATATTGAAAGAAAAACTTCTGGTGGGCAGATACTTTAATTGATAAATGAATATGTTAATTAGAGGGCTTGGATGATTATGCAATTTTATTATAGTTTCTTGTTTTTAGATTTTTTGTTTAATATTTTGGAAATATTTGTGATTCGCATATTTGTCTATCTATCAATCTGTGTCATAATTATATTCTCCGCACAAGCTACCCATATATAGATCCCATTAAGAAAATTCGTAAAACATTATTCAGATAAATTTTTGTTCTTGCTTTTTTTCAAAGTCAAAAATATCTTAACAACCATTCCGTCATTTCCCTTGGTCAGCCTTTGAATCCTATAGATTGCAGTTAAGACGCATTATGTTCATATGTACTTACTATCTGTAAAATCGCTCTCGTTGCCTAAGCAAAGCTAAAAATGTCCATTTCATCTTTGGCACGGCTCAAGTAAGCTTCAACCACATAAGTCTCCTCTCTTGATTGTATTTTCAGATCTAAAAAATTAGTTATATATATGAATTGGACATGAAAAATATTTTAATAATTAATTTTTTCAAACATACCCACATTTTTTAGTGGCTTTATTTTATCAACATCCAACTCAATGAGACTCGCAATCGAAAACCTTCTTTGTAATTCAACAATCAGTATGTTCAAAATGCCAAAATACTCAGTCTCAAATAGCTCGTCGTACTCTTCTATATTTTGTCTAGCGGAGAAAGAATGGCTCATACGTCAAATAATCACCCAGCCCATTTAGTTTATACTTGCATTTTAGAAATCTGTGTCCTATTTTCAGACTAGCCGCAGTCGTCACATGTTAACGACTTAGGTATTTCCAGAACATTTGTTTTGAACTTAATTTTATACTATCATCTTCGACATAGTTGTACATCTGCGTGGATAAAATATTTTTGGTCATAACCATGATCATTCGGAATTTGAGGTTCAAATTCGTTGAAAATATATCGTACATATTTTTTTCCACCATAAAATGCAGCTAGTGTTTATGATAAAAGAGTTTATTTCACAGTAAGCATTGGTTAAAAATGAAACTATTTTATTCGAAATTGCATACAAGAGATGTCAATGTTATTTCCCGTACATAATTAATTCCGTGAAAGTGGCTGCAACAAGGTTTTCAGTAATCTTAACCGTCAACAAAGTATCATTGATGGCACTATCCTTGATGTGACATATGGCTAATGCAATACTTTAGCTGTTATTTTTATCTCACTTTCCATCTTCCATTAGAGTAAACTATTTCACGTCAGATTAATTAAAATCTTTGACAATGGAACTTCGTGTTTCTTAATTCATTATTAATTCGTTGTTACATTTGGTGACATATGAATAGGAACCTCGTTCAAATTTAGATCCTTTATACATTTGTATTCAAATATATTCTGAAATAACCTTTGCACTATTTCTTCTTCTAAAATAATATTTTCACGCAAAGCTAATTATTATTTTTTGACTGGAATTTCTACAATAATTAAAACAACTACGTCAAAAATTCAGATTTATTATCATATAATATAATAAGGGGTTAGTTTTTGAAAGCTATAGGCAAATTTTTCAAAAAAAAAACACATAAAATTCAGAAAATGCATGAAAAAATATCTAAAGACGTTAAATTGCACGATCTAGGTGGCTAATCGAGCGGTCCCGAACGTGAAATAAAATATACACCCAACTCGTCTCTCAATTAGTCCATTGCTACGCGTGCTATGTGGTATGTGGCACCGTCTTGTTGAAACCACATGTCATGCAAGTCAAGCTCTTGCGTTTTTGGATTGATATCATCTCACGCTAGCGCTCACCATTCACAGTTACGTTGCGATTCGCATCGACTTTAAAGAAGTACGGTCCAATGAACCGCACCAAACTGGGACTTTTTCTGGATGCCTTGGTAGCTCTTGCAATGCTTCTGGCTGATCTTATCTCCAAAATTGACAATTCTGCTTATTTACGCATCCATTAAGTCAAAAGGGAGCTGCGAAGCACGCCTTTTCAGAGATATATAAAAAATCCTTCTTTACTAGTGACTGGTAACTTAAAGGTTTTATATTTTCAGTTCTTATCTTAATTTTGAACTCAGCAGTATATGTAGTGAATAATATTATATATTCTATTGGCATATTGTAACTGCTGAAGCGAATTTTTGGTGTATGTCTTGACTTTATATAAAGCTGTGCCCAAACGGTTGAAGTATATTTATGGAACCCAGACAAACTTTTTTTCAATCAATAAAAGAGAGAGTGGGGACGCAAGGCAAAGAAGGACTGCAACGTAGCGATAAATTTCACGTTAAACAATAATTTCAATCGATTCGGTTGAAACATTGGAAATCAAACATTAATTCGTCTTTTCCCAAAACAAATTGCTATCGTTAATGTTAAATCGTTAAAATTGAATTGTGCTCTAATAGTTTGTGTGAGAGAAGGACATATACAAGTGGACGGAGGAAAGAATTCAGTCGCTAAGCTAACACGAAAGTTATTTAAGAAATTAATTTAAACTTGATGTATTTAATAACTTCAATAACTATTCTTATATATTACATACTTAATATCTAAAAATGAATTGAAATAAATCCTATATTTGAAATAAATATAACGTTGTCAAATATCCCTTCCGCTTTTTTGCTCTTCATTCAATGCTTTATAAAAAGTGTTACAGTGTTCCTTATTTGCGAAGAATTCGGACAGCCGCTTTTCACAAGCCTCTTTTGAGTTCAACTTCACACCACCAAGGGCATTCGCCATGGACAAGAACAGGTGGTAATCACTTGGCACTACGTCCGGGCAATATGGTGGATGCGATAAAACCTCCCATCCGAGCTCCCGTAGCTTCTGACGAGTCATCAACGAAGTGTGTGGTCTAGCGTTGTCCTGGTGGAACACTACACCCTTCCTGTTGGCCAATTCTGGACGTTTCTGGTCGATCGCCTGCTTCAAGCGGTCCAATTGTTCGCAGTAGATGGTAGAATTAAGCGTCTGGCCATATGGGAGCAGCTCATAGTCGATGATTCCCTTTCAATCCCACCAAACACACGTCAATCCCGGCTTGGCCGCTGTTTGGGACGATTCACCGGCCTTCGACCACGACCGTTTTCGCTTGATATTGTCGTATGCGATCCATTTTTCGTCGCCATTCACCATCCGCTTCAAGAATGGGTCGAATTCGTTCCGTTTCGGCAGCATATCGCAGGCGTTGATTCGGTCCAGAAGGTTTTTTTGCGTCAAATTATGCGGCACCCAAACATCAAACTTTTTTTTGTATCCAGCCTTCTGCAGATGGTTCAAAATGGTTAGGTGACTAACTCCCATCTCCTGGGCGATGTCACGAGATGCCTTATGCCGGTCTAACTCGATGTATTTCACGATTTGATCGGTATTTGTCGTCACAGGTCTTCCGCCGGCTGGCTTATCCATGGTGTCGTTTTCACCGGCTCTGAATCGTCGAAACCATTCCTCCGCGGTTCGAAGTGATAGAGTACCATCCCCCAAAACACCATTAATCTCACGGAACGTTTCTCTAGCGGATTTGCCTTTAACGAAGGAAAACTTTAAAATAGCGCGAATTTCGGCGTTAGTGAACTCCATGTTTACACGTCTATAACTGTTGAACGCAATATCCAAACTAATCATGCATAGCGTTGTTTTGTAGGTTATGTCAAGACCTTTCAAATTATGTATAGTGTTGCCAGATACGAGCTCTGTAGCGCTTTGTACATAGCCGCGAAATTCAAAAGACAAAAAAGCGGAAAGGAGTTATTTGACAACCTTATAAAATACGGTTACGTGTTAATGAAAACGGTATATTCTGTAAGTAGAATTCCCACATCGATGTTAATTTTTGTGTCATTCCATAAACTGTGAAAATTTAATAGCGAAAGGAAATTTGATTTTCAGTAAAAATCTACAGATTAATGCGAAAATCTCTAGGCAAATAAGTGACCCAAGTTGTCCGCGAATATAGAGATCTGTTGGGAAATCAATTCGAAAGAAAACCATTGATCCCAGTATTGATTGCATTAAGCAAATCGATAATTTGTAAACTTATTCGTTGTGCTGTGAATATATTTAAAAAGTTGTGTATTAATTTTCACTGCAACAACTACCTCTCATCTCTTGGTTCTACAAGTTGAAGTTTGTTGAAGTACATTACTTTTTGTTTTAGCTTCTTCGTCTACTCTTTATACCCACTTCGTATTTCCTTCAATAGAATAAAGTTTTTTGCAGTAATTTTTACATTAACTTAACCAACTTGTACCACCATATTTTTTTATTTTCTTTGATTTTTTTCTGTTTTGTCTCCTGCAGGATACTGTGGCGTATGCGTAATGCAATACGGAGTGAACTGGAATTGAATTGAAAAGTTTTAATGTGTGCTGAGTTCATTTATCCCAACATTCGGATTTTCTACTTGGAAAAAGTTGAGAGACTGTGGTCAACAAAGCGGGCAGAAAAAATAAGGTAAAGACTTGTACCGGATCACAAAGAACAAAAAGATGGAATTGTAAAGTGAATTGCAACCATAGCGGCAACTACTAACAACTACTAATATCCACCACATAAGCAGCTAAACAATAAAACAACATAAAACCTAAATTAAATAATATCAACAATATGGGATTGAAACAAGAACAATAACTTTTTCGAAAATAAACGAAGCTCAATAGACTGAAATAGAGTCCAAATATTTTTACCGTAATGCAATTCAATTAATTAAACATATCATTAATTAATATAAAATACAATAATAAAAAACAACAACAAACCACAACCAATAAAAACACGTTTTATGTAAACTGAAAAAATACCCAATTATTGGCAAAAGATCTCAAAGTAAAGTGTAGTTAAATATCTTTATTGAATAAATTCATATTGACAAATAAATATTGGAACCAAAAACAAAAACAAAATTGCACACAATTCAGAAGATAGATAATGTAAATATGAAATTCTAGTTCTTAAAACAAACAATTGATAAGATTATCGAATTCTCGTAAGCATAACAAAAATTTATTGCATTTAACTAAATAGTAAGGCAAACAAACTATTAGACAAAAATTAAATAAATTGAATAAATTTATTAAAAATGCGAATTCAACACACAAATGAAAACCAACAAAACTGATGATTTTATAAAAATCTCCGGCAACGTCAAATAAACTCAACAAAATAAAAAAAAAATGTATAAAGAGCTGATGGAAAATTGGTAACAGTTGAATGAAAACTGAATTTAACCGAAAGATCATTGAGTTAAAATAAAGGCAGAAATGGCTTACGAACACCCCAAAAGAAAGTTTAATCTAGCTGCACACATAAACACAAAAGCGGAGAAACGACTACGGCAGATACAAAAACAAAGCTGAATTGAAAACAAATCCGAGTAGGCTTTTTCCCAAAACAATATGTGGAAATAAGAAAAGAAAATAGTCTTAATAGGAAATAAAGTTATTAAAAATGGTGTTTTCAAAAACGCCAAAAACACTGAAATAATAAACAATTATTTTCGGTTCATTCATGCGCATTCGTGTGCTGCTCGCCTCGCTAACGAAAAAAAGAAAATAATATCACAACAATAAATTATTACAAACATAAATAGCAGCAGAAGTGAAACAAAAAACATTGTGCTTTTCGATTTCTCATTGTCGACAAACGTTGATCGCTACTTAGCCATTAGGACACCAAAATACTCAAATGTGCGTGCAGCAAATAGTGAAAAGTGTGTTACAAAGAATTCGCGTCAGATAATTGTTAAAGCTAACGGTTGGCAACACACCTACATTCCATGAAGAGAGATTTATAAATTTCTAGGTGAGTACATTCTAGCTGATAACTACTAATTATTCGGGGTTGCATGAAATCATAGCCATTTAAGAAGCAGGTGGAGTTTTTTGAAGGCACTTTGCCGAAGTATCTGTCTATTCGCCCGATTTTTGTGCCTATTTATAATTTTATAAAAAATTTGGGTGACCTCTTTAACCTCGTATACCTCTTTTTCGAACTGAAGATATGTTAAAAATAGGAGAAAGCGGATACCGATCACTCCTACAGTTCAATATTATATAAATACACAGAAATCGTTAAGTTGCGGAGACATCGAATTCATTTAATGGTCGCGGCATGGTTCAAATTATTTCGGGAAATTAATAACCTCGGTCTGAACTTCTACAAAATTTAACTGAACAAAACAAATACACCCCATGTACACAATACAGGTGGGTATAGTCATGCAAATATGTACGCTCATAAACTTAAACACATTCGTACTAACATGCAAATGAGATTTGAGGTAGAAATAATGTTTGTGATATTGTGGAACACCTGTGCTTATTTTTAGTTTTAATAAATATTAAAAGAAATTAAATACATTTTTTTAATTTGTTCACATTAAGATATATTTGTTTATTAAAAAATAATATTTTTTTTTGGCTGTTTAGTGGTGAAAATACTAAACAATTCTTTAATCATATTCATTTATTTTTAAATAAAATAAAAACTATCCTCATGTTATTTGAACAATTTTAATTTAATCACACTTAAAAAATGTATATCCATCAACATGAAAAGCAATGACGGGAAACAATCTCAATAAATAAATAAGGTTAAATCACAGATATAGACAGGAAATTAGTCTCCTATATTTATAGCTGAGGTGCTGTTAGGGTAGGACAATTCGTTATTTAAAATATGTTAGCTTTGAGCTAGGCATCCATCAGCTATAGCACGGCTTACAACCATAGAAGCTCAAATAACGAAACGTTGCCATTTTCTTTTGATTGTGTGAAAAATAACGAAATAGCGGAATGTTATCGGAACGAAATGAAATTGTTAAGGTTGAAACCGTTCAAATTCTCCGTTAACGTTAATTTGGAACCGCCTGCACGATATGATATTGACAGCACACTTCAATTTTAACGTTTAAAATGATCTGTAAACGATTTAACATCAGCAACAGCATTTCGTTCCGGGTAAAAATGAAATAAAATTCATTTTGATAACTGCGTTAACAATTAAATTTTAAAATTTTTCAACCGAAACGATTCAGATTTTTCGACAAACGTCAAATTTATCGTTCCGTTGCATCTTGCTTAAAAAAATTGAATTAAGAACAGATATCTGATTCTGTAAATACTTTTCTCAATTACGTTACTCTTTTCATCTAATTAATTCACAATTGCCGTCGCATTATCCCAGTATTTAGCCGTGCGCACTAACTTTCGGAAGGCCAGGGTTCGAGACCAGCTCCAAAATTTAAAGAAAGTTAATTTTTTGAGGTGCGGTCGCCCTTCGACCGAAAACGTCAAGCCCTCCGGGTGCATATTTGAAACGAAATAATAGCTCCACTTTAAAATCCATAAGCATTTCGGAGGCACCTTAAAATAAACTGTGTTTCCCTCCATTTGTTGGTGAAACCTCAATCATATATATTAAGAAATTATAAATTTTCTTTTGTTTGAATTATTTACATTTTCATAAACATCTTTCTATAACCTTAAAAAACGCGTCACTAATGCCTAGTAAAAAATCGAATACTAGATTTTTACCAAAATCAACGAGCTCCAAAATGAAAGATAATTTGGTAAACTATGCACAATCTAGTGTAAATATGTACATACATACCTACATACATATATATTTTCCAAATAATTCAATGGCACAGTAGCGTCACGGAAACAGCTGCAGCAATAGCAATATGTACATATGGGTGTACACATGTACGACTATTATGATATTGAAAACGCAACGCGTGCAACATTGAAAAATGAAACAGCAGTGAAAATAAAATGTGGGGATGCGTTGTAAGTTATGCCTGAATCTACATATGTAAGTCCATACGTGCATACATATATACAACAAACAATAATTTGTAAACATATGTACATATCGAACTTTACATTTCTATTGTTTAAATAGATTTTTATTATGCCCCACAGCTTCTAAATATATTCATCGGTGTAATAACACATGAATGTGTATATGTATGTATGTTGGTATTTGTTACTACATGACAAGTCTCTGCTCAAAAATTTACAAAATTTTTAAAAATTTTAAGTCATTTACCTGAATGAAGTAAGAAATGCGAAACTGAAGTCGATATGTGAAGAAAAATGATAGTAAAAGTCTCGAGTGAAAGGTCAGTTTTATGTATAGTAAACAAGTGAGTTTATTGTCCGATTGAGCTTTGTCATCTTCAACGATGTATTCAGTGGAAGGTTGCAACTGGGAAAAAGCTGATACTTACACCGAAACTTCAAAAAATTATGCCCGAGAATCGATCGAAGTAATTCGCACTGCACAAAAAATATCAAGCCTGCATCGCAACAGAAATTTGACTCTATTGGACTATTTATTTCTAAAGGGATAAGTGCTCCGCCAACCCTCAAGAGACGATTCATCATTTGAAACCCGAAATTGAAATTGTTATTGTGTTGAAAAATTAAGTCAATAGACAAAACAGAATGAATTAGTATTTTCGAGCCCAGCCGCGGCGGTACTTCAGTAATAGGAATGTTGAGGCATTTCGAAAGAGGAAAAATTTTTGAAACATATTTATGCTCAATTTTTAATAACAATTCCAATTCGCACAATTATGTCGGGCGTAACCAAATAACCACACTTTGTTTTCAATTGTGTTTGGCATTACTAAATCTGACTTCAATTGTATTGTATAGTGTATAGCTTATTTCACAGATATGGGCATCTGAAATGTGCAGTTTGTATATATTTTTTTCCAAAAAAACATTCAAATTTGTTTACTCTTATATTTACTATCAAGTCTGTCCGTTTACTTGGCGTTATAAATTTGATGTGTACATACATATATATCATGATTAGATTTATTAAAATACTTCGGCTGCTCGGAGGCGGCAGTGGAAATTTAATTTAAATAAAAAGAATTAAGTTAATTTTTCCTTCTACGGTCGCTCCTCGACAGCGAATGTCAGCTTCTCCGAAGGTGTTAATGAAATGAAATAAAAGTTTATAAAATTCAAAAACATCAAGACTCCAAATTGGGGAAGTAGAGAGTCTTAAATTTGAGTTAATATAAATTAATATGACCGCTGGCGATTTTTTAATTTTTATTTTTTTGAATTTTTTATAAAAGTCTATTTCTCATACATCTTCAATAAATTAAATTATATTTAAGCTTCTTTTTGACTCAGAGACTCTAACCCAGAGGTTTTTTTTCCTAATTTCTTCGTAATTTCAAGAAAAGGCTATGTATATGTTTTGCCCTTATGAATAATTTTTTTCTAAATTGCAAAACATCAAACAACATAAAGTTGTTAATGAGCTCAAATTTTTTCCAGAACTTTCCAGTATACGATAAAGCAAACTTGAAATTTTAAAGCAAATTAAAACATCGGTTTTTCAAAATTGGAACTGATTTAGATTACCATAACTTTCCGAAGGCATATCACAAAAGCTGAATAGATTTCAACGAAGTATACCGTAGAAAACAACACTTGATAAAATAATGTTTCAAAAATTAGTAAAATAGAACGTATTCAGTTTTTCTTAGACAAAATATGTAGTTTTCTCTTGAAATTCAAAAGTCTACTGCGAAGTGTACCCCAGTTGTAGGGTCTAGTGGGAAGGATACCCCTGGGTTGGAGTTCCTGAGTATAATATAATATAGTTCATTGAAAATGCCTGAAAAGTAGACTTCTATAAAAAATCAAAAGAGCGCCCAGCGGTCATATTAATTCACATCAACTAAAATTTAGAGCTCTCCCCATTTTATGTTAAAAAGAAGCTGGGATATAATTTTTTGAGAAGACTGTAAAAACTAGATTAAATCATGTCAGGCTCAATTTATGGGATCGTCTCCCTTAAAATATACGTTTAGAAAAAAATCTACATCAAAATCTCATCTGTACACACTTTACAAAAAATTTTCGTCTCTATTTTAGCTTTTATTTCCAGGAAAATTAAAATATCACGCTGAGCCAGATGAAATACTTATTAAACAAATAGATATATTTGTCATATAGATAGTTTTTGAGAAAAAAATTGAATATATTGTGCGAAAGTAATTAATTTTAGAGTCACTAACATTAAGTAACAGTTACATAATGTAATAATGTGCTTGACAAAAATAAAATTGAATTCAATTAATAAAGAATTGGCGCTTAAGACTGGGCTTGCATTCAAAAACTTTTGTTGCTTGTTATTTCTTTTTTGGCTTTCCCGTATACGAAATTTTTTTGCTGGTTTTGACATTTTATTAAAAATTAATATTATTTGTATATATTCATTTAAAAATGTAATAAAATATTTATTTACTTGGTGTATAAAAACTCAAAACCTTAATTCATATAAATTTTATCACAACTGCAAATACTAAATACAAAAATCAATAAAAGATATATGTATATGAAAAAGAATACCAAATTTTATAGCCATGAATGAATACAGAAAACTGTTGACCGAGCACAAGCAACTAAAGATTAAACACTACAACTTTAATTTTTTGTAGACAAATTTCGAATTGACCTATTGTTTTGTAGATGCGGAGTTTCTTATTTGAATACAAAAATAACATAAAAATTTGAAGTTGCTGTCCCAGCTAATTTTAAAACGAAATGTAATTGGAATATTCTACAAAAAAAGGGGGTCTCGTAAACAATAGCTGTGTCTTGGCCCATTACGGATGCAGCTATTTTTAAGATACACACCCCAAATTTTCAATGGCAAACTTTGATAGCGCATAATTTTGAATTATACCCACAAAGAAATTGTTATGAGATAATAATTTTAGTGCTATGGTTCTTACAACCAAAATCAGCAGTTTGGTTTCCCATCAGTTTAAGCGTTTTTAAACCCAATTCGGATAGAAAAAAACCGAATTGGGTTTAAAAACGCTTAAACTGATGGGAAACCAAACTGCTGATTTTGGTTGTAAGAACCATAGCACTAAAATTATTATCTCATAACAATTTCTTTGTGGGTATAATTCAAAATTATGCGGGGGCAGTTAAAAGATTTTATTAGTTTATACAGGTAGCCATCAGCCATGCACTGTTCTTGTCCAAAAATTTTAAATTGCTTGAATAATTAATGAAAATTAATTTTAAAAGCAAAAATTATTCCTAATTGTCTCTAAATTACTTTCTGCATAATTTAAGTAATGAACTAATAAAATTTTCCGCATCGACTTTGCCAGCGCTGCATGCATACCGTGGGTTCTAGTCTGTGGGTATGGCATTACTGACACGAAACAGTCTATAATTATTTTTTAGTTGAGCAATCAAATTGAGTTGATAAATGATAAATGCAAGTATCTACGTGAATTTTCTCATGCCTAAAATACAATAGCTTCCATTCATGAAAGGTATAAAATATGCGTCATAGCCGAAGAATGCGTTTTTTTTTGTTTAAATCTTCGAACTCTGTTGTAAATTAAATCTGTTTACAACCGGATATTGTAAAAGCAAATTAAAACACATGGAGGAAGTGGTGACAAGTGGCTATGCCGTCGGCGAAGAGTTTTGATAGACTTTGGAATAATCTTACCAAATGTTGAAAGATAAAATTTTGAAATATCACGAAGAAGTAACATATTATATTATATAAGAGAAGCGAGTAATCGCAATGGTAAAATTAAATATTCCTACAATTAAGAAAAATATTGCCGTTTACGTTGACAACTCGTTATTATTTTTTCATAAATTTTAGAGAGTACATTTTTTTTAAATTTAACTTATAATATTCACCATAATTTTGATTTTTTGAACTGCTGATTTTATGAATTTTTTGTACTTTATATTTTGAATGAAATTATTTTTGAGTCAAAAAAACTTTGATATAAATACTTATATAAATCTAGTGTTCCCAGTTGAATTTAATTAATTTGTTTTGTCATTTCAAAATTTACTTTAAAAACCAGTGATTTTTCGTTCTCATACTAAAATACTATCTACTTTACCTACCTATATTATACTATGATGGAAAATAAGTTATTAAGTTGAGCAATATAAAGCAAACGAAAAAAAAAAAAACAAAAATAAAAAACAAAACCAAAAAGAAAACGAACAAAAAGAAAGTATTTTTTAAATTACTCACACCTGCTAAGAAAAAATAAAACCCAGAAAACACTTGCGTTTATTATCAATTTGATGCATATTTGAAAGAAAATAGCTTCATAAGGCTTGCAAAATTAATTCTTAAACTTATTTGTGGAAGATTTTCTTAGTTGTTTGATTCTATTGATATGAAGGTATAACCACGTATCGCCTTATACCTAATGTACTTTAAGTGTTTATTAGAAGAGGGTGTACATCTTTTCCATGTTTGCTGGGTACATATTGTAACATGATAACAAAAGCTCGGAAAGCGATTTGGAGCACCTGTTAATAAAACATAGAACTCGCACAGGCAAATTCAACTTGGCCTTTGTTGCTATTTTTTGCCCTTCTGTTTTATTTATATTTTGATATTTTACAAATAGAGAAAACAATTCTGCTGTGTGCGCTTTTGACCCATAAGCCGCTTATGACATTAAATTTTTCAGTTTGAACGATAAAAGCTTTTTCCTGAAAGTACTGTAATGCTTGAAACAGTGGCGCTGGACGTACCAGCTGCATTTGATTGGCGTTTGTGGGCTTAACACGCATCCAACTTTTTTTTGGGATTTTCGCGTATGCTGTTTTACTTGTATTAAATATTTATATAGGGATGCATGTATAAATATTTAATATGCACATAATATTACGATTAAACTGAAACTTGTTTTTGTTGTAATTTTGTATTCACTGCACAATAATTGGAAGTTAATTTTTTTTTTACTTCTTCGAATACCTCTAGGAGATGGTGCTTCGAATTTTAAATGTTTAAATAAATTAATATATTCAAATTTTAAGTGGCCGAAATAATAAAAAGAACAACAAATAACAAAAGTTTAATTCCTTTTTCATGACACTTGTAACTTGTGCTACCGTTATATATTATATTATATTAAATGTACTAATAACCGGACACCACCTAGTAACTGGAAATAACCAAGGTGTTTTACAACGAACGAGACACCAGGACCGCGACAGGGAACCTCCTGATGTAACCGGATCATCACCTGCGCAGTAAAGCATCTACGCATTACGGGTTGAGGAGCGTAATGCTATACTGTGCATCTCATTGAAACTGAACCTCCACGCAGGCACATCATAAAGGGAGTACTAGTTATGAAGAACACCATCCAGCAAACACGTGAAAAATTGGTGAACGCCATTCACCAGGAGTCATTTAAAACCTTCAAAAATTCTCTTCCCATGAATGGCGTACTTGGAGTTAAAGCATCATCTGTTGCAGACGAAGAGCTCGAGGTGCTTCGTGACCTCGGGGAATTAGATTGAATAACCTATTCCTAAGTGGGGCTAACGATCGTCTGCAACAACAAAAACAGGGTGTTTTAGAAAATATAAGAACATTTTTATTAATTTTTCATCAAAAAGAAATGCAATCGAAGCAGAAATTAATTAATCGCCGTTTTGTTTAAAGCGGTATACTTCGTGTACATAGAGAAATATGTGAAAAACTTATATTTTGTTGATGAAAGACATTTAGACATTATTAATAGAAAAGAAATTAATAGTTTTTATTTGCATTTATATTTAATGTATAATTAATTGGAGAACGGTCCCATAAACCCATAGAGTTTACTGAATTCATGGAGGGAACCCTCCTCCAGCCTGTTTAATTAAGATGATGAATCCGAAAAGATGTTCCTTTAAGGAAAAACAAACCGGCAGAGCTATTCAAACAAGGCGGTGAAAAGCTGACAAAGGTGCATGAGTCACTCTTTGCAGAATATGATCGTGCTTATAAGGTACTGTCGAGCGTATTGTGTAAAAAACTAAAGCTAAGCGTTAAAGAAATTGTTGGAGGCTTTATGGTATATCAAACATCAAGCGCCAAATATTGGAAAAGACCCGTGAAAGAAGAATTGATACATATCACCTTTTTATCGAATTTAAAGCTGCCTTCGACATCACAGTAAGAAACTGCTTCTACGCCGCAATGTCTGATTTCGGTATCCTCCCAAGGCTTTTTCGGCTGTTAAACTATTAAACTGACAGTAGAAGTGCAGTCAGAATTAGGAAGGACCTCTCTGAGAAATATAAATAAATTTGTCAATAGGAACGGTGTATATTTTGTTTTTTTAAGAAGGATTAAACAACTGTATATTGATAGGATAGCTTTTTTTTCGTCTCTGTGTAAAGAGCAATGAATTATGATAGAGTAAACAGCAAAAATCGGCACTTACAAATTCATCCGCTTTAAAAAAAAACAAATTTTTTTCACTCTAAAAGCAAATGTGTATTCCTTCGTTAATCAAATTCACAACTCCACCCTAATGTACACACTAAAATATAGCGGTACGAAATATCTACAAGTTGTATAATAAAGCTTTTTACATATAAACATCATTATTTTGTAAGTATGTAGTTCATAAAAGAAGTTTGTCGATTTTTAACAGGAAACGCTGCGTCAGTTCCGTAGTCATAATGGTGGTGTTTATAATATGCTGTCTATTGAAAAATCTTTAACATCAAATACAACCCCTAAAATCCATTTCCCAAAACAAAATAATAAATAACTATAGCAAAATCTGGTTATATACTAAATGAAGCAGGCTGAGTCAGCGGACAAACATAATAGCTGTAAGTAAAGCACTGTTACTTATTAGTACAATATTTTGCCTTATTCCTCTACGCTAAACCTATTATTTCTGGGCTATAATACGACAATACGCTGTTTCCCCCACTCATCATCATTATCTATTCTGCTCATATTTTAACGGTTGCCAGCGATGTATGTGCACTGTTATATTACAAGCATATATGGTATATGTATATAAGCTCTTAAGTGATTCAAGTATGTATGTAAAAATTATTTTATATCAAAATATAGAAAACAATTAAAGATGGACATAATTCTGACTCAGATTCTCGATGGTTTCGGGATCATTGCAAAATTATCTCAGGCAACATACAGGTTTTGTTTTACGTTTAGTTTTTTAAAGGATCTAATTTTGAAAAGAATTAGCTATTTTATCCTTTGAGAAGATTTGGCGATATAGCGCAAGATTTTCTTTACGTGTTACGAAGAATTTTCTATTTTCTGTTTAGAAAAGATATATTATGTTTATTTAGACTATTGACTACTTAAGCAAATTTATGTATTTTATTTTTAAATTAAATTAAGAAAAATAATAACAATGATTTGTTACGATATATCTAACGTAATTTATATGGCAGATAAATCGCACAAAAGTTTTAAGCGGTTGTGACATGGCATTAATTACAGAATTCTGTTCGCCTAAAATTTGAGCTTAAAATTTCCTAAGCAAAGTGAAAATGTCTGATACAGTTGCTGATAGATTTTGTGTGTACATGCAAAGATATTTACCATAAATAAGCAAAGTGAAAATGTCTGATATTGTATATTCAAATGAGGCCAGTTTTTGAAGATATGTATTGAACAGTTGATTGGTGAAGTTCGTCCAAATGAAGAAATAATTACTGATAACATAATACATATAAGCTTGCCAGCCTTATAATTACACGTGAACGTGATGTAAATAACTTTTCAACATTTGCATACTGTACAACATATCTTTATCTAGGTTTTAGCCAGCTTAATATCCTTTAACTGAAACCATATAGAAAAACGCTAACAAGTCAATCGCTACTTCTGCAATATTTTCAATTTATATAACTTAAACTGGCGGCCGCTGTAGCCACCAACATCCAAAAGTAATAGAAAATTAAATTAAATAAAAAATTAAGTTAAGTTAAATTTTCTAATTGTCGTCGCCCCTGGGCAGTGAATGCCCAACCCTCCGAGTTTACATCTAACACGAAATAAAGTATATCATAAAAAACCATCAACCGTTCGGAGGCGGCTGAACATAAACTGTAGGAGCTCGGCCCAAAAATTGCCTCGGCGGTCACAAAGCCCAAATTACATATAATTTCAATATGAATTGCGAATTTCGTACGATATTTGAAAGGCTACAAAGTCTAAGAGAATAGTTCAAAACTTTTTTTGTGCATTCTAAGATTACTACTAAATACTGGAATGGTAGAAAAAAATTCCATTGACATATGGAAACGAAATATCTTACAAAGGAAATTGATAAAAAGGATTAAAGTCTGACGGTTTGACATCGCACGATCGACACAAAATGTGCAATTCTCTGCTCACCGAAGTGTTCTTTCAATGCAATGTAAACAAAATGTCGCCTAGATCACGAGCTTCAATTTCAGTCATCAAATAGTCGGTTGTCATGGCGTCATTGACGGATACGTTTTCATCGGCATAATTTTTCAAGTAATATGGACCGATGATTCCACCGGCACAAAAATCACATCAAACCGTTGCTTTTTCTATTCAATAGATGAAATTGCAACTCTTGAATCTCTTCAGGGTGCTTTTCGTCCCAAATGCGTACCCATTGAGCCAGAAATGGGCTCTATCGCTGAACAAAATTTGGCTGGAAAACGGCGGATTTTCTTAGAAGCCATATCGCCTGGGAAGGTCGAGGGGTTTCAGTTCCTGCACATGTTGAAATTTTCTCAACTTTTAATTTCAGATCTCAACATAAAATGCGCAAACTCGCTCCACTTGTAAGGGTAATCTGCTGCGAACGGTGCCGAATCGAATCCCCACGGGCTTCGTGTACACTCGCAGCTACGACCTTCGTGTACACTCGCATCTACGGACGCTATATTTCCGTTTCTGTGTACAGGAAGCAGTCTATTCGGTCGAATATTATCTAATGAATGCATGAATGCTGGATCTCTATATGGGTGATGATGTTGCGAATAGTACAGTCAGTAGGCCAATTATGTTGACCATAAGTTAAGCAAAGCACGTGAAACACATTCATTACAGAATACGAGTTCTCATTATTATTGAACGATTTGTAAATGTTTTTCAGGCGTAAGTCTTTCCATGAAAGCCGTCGGCATAATTATAATTATTGAAAATGGCGAACAATATATTTAATATTAGAGGTTAGACACAATTAACTTTTTTTGAAGATAAGTAAAATAACTATTTCTTCTTGCGAGAATATGTTTTTTCGTGTGTTATTTCTTAATCATTGCATTTTGAATATCGCGGTTTTTGAGTGGCGTTAATTTGGACTATTTATCAAAGACTACCTGACGAACTTAAAAAAATTTTCAAAGGAGATAAGGAGAATATCTGATTTTTATCGATTTAGATGAATATTAAAAATGGAGGAAGCGCATAAACTATCATTTAATGGGACTTAAATAAAAAAATATACCCAGAAGAGTTTGCGACGATATTGCCAGTAATAGATCTAGCTTATTGAATAATTATGCCTAGTTTTCCTCAAGTTAAGCTTTAGATCACACAAAGTACTAAATTTTAATTTGTCAATATGAGTTTAAAATTAAGCAACATTGAAAAAAATTTTATGAATGTTTCTAAAACACATTTGCATATACATATCTTCTATATTCTTCATTTTTTTGGCACTCATGAAAAACCAATTTTTTTCAACATATATTTAAAGCGTAAAAAAATTCGAATCTTCGTATGAAAAGAGCGAAATAAAGTAAAAAAAATGTGTCCTCATTAAACCGCATTAAAAGAGCTTGCAATTAAGCTACCATTAATTAAAAATTGGAAATGATTGATGGCAATGAAATAGTACAAAATATGCTGAATTGTCAATGCCTCTGAAAATTCTCGCTCCCACCGCCCACTCTATCGTTTCACCGACCTAACCAACGTATTGATAACAGTTGCAACCCGCGCTGGCATAGTTGATGCTTCCGTTACCGTAACTATTCCATTCCTGCTTTATCTAGCCATTCGTCACTTTGTGCCGCTTCCGCCAATCGTATTTTGAACAATCATTGATTCGTACAAATGATTCAGCCCCAGTCATTGAGCTGAAAGTAGAAGCATACAGGCTGAGTCGTCTCTGTCACAGTAACAAACACTTTCGAAAATATTCAATCATTATTTTTTTTAGTTGAATAAAATTAAAAAAAAAATATAGTACTCCAAATATTGGTTTTAGAAATACATAATTTTGAGGTAGATTCGAAAAAACGAAATTAACTGATGAGGGCTTCTCAATTTCAAGTAGTTAGTTTTGAAATCCACCCTGTCACTCTGTTAATACAAATATATATACAAACACTTTTGCGCAAGTGCAATCAATGTAATGTCCTTTTAAGCGTCCAGATATATCTGCCTTGTAGTCCTTGACGTCGTGGTGCACAGAATTGCACAAGTGCAAGCTTGAGCACGAGAATACGTCTGTTTGTGTGTATATATATACTAATGTCAAGCGGTAAGTCGTAATTAAGACATCAGCCTCGCTGGAAACTGTCATGAAATTGAGCCTATAGTACCGGCATCGATGGCATTGCCGTCATTGCTGATATGTGAAATTCGAAATCAATGCATTTATCAAATTGCCTTAACATGAAGGTGAAAATGCACTTGTATTTCATTCATTTGTACATGCCTACATGCACACATATCGATTTGTGTAGATACTGAATTGGAATGTCGCTACGTGTGTGTGTGTGTTGTTATCGCGAAAATACGCATCAATAAATTTGCAGTCAATGATGGTGGTAAACCCAGCCCAACAATCGAGTCTTGAAATAAGTATTATTGCGAGCGAGCAACTCACGCGCACTTTAAATTGTATTTAAACTGCAATGCTGCAGCAAAATAAATTTTTTACAAAAGTTTGTATGTATATCAATACCTCCTTCAAGAAAATATGATTTAACTAACTCATTAATTAACATTACTTAATACGATGAAATTCTATTTTGAATTTTTATCATCTTTACCAATTTTAATTTAAGACTTTGGTTACCGACCAATCGATTCAACAAGGGAAATATTATGCCACCTCTGAGGTGCAGATATGATAATTGGATAAAGAGCAGAGATGCTCAACTAACGAAACGATGGCTTTGGGTTTTTTAATAGTAATAAAAATAAAATAAATAATGTTGAAATCGTACAAATTTATTGTTAACGTTAATTTTAAACAGTCATTTGCTATACAACGTGTATATACGTTCTCTGCTATGATATTAACAGCACACTTAAACGTTAACATTTAACATTATCTGTTAACGATTTAACAGTAACAACAGATTTTCGTTTCGGGTAAAAATTTCCAAATGTTTCAATTGAAACGATTTAACTTTTTTATTAACATCAAATGTATCATTCGATGATACACATATATCGGTTTCGACCCAGATTCTACTAGGCGAGAAATTACTTATCAAGTTAAATATGCTCTTAACTATTAAAACTGTTAAAATATTGGTAGAGTTAGCGATGAAACTGATTCATCGGCTGATACTACAGAATTAACTAATTCGATGACAAAACTGACAAAAATTGCTAATGTAAATTCTCCTATTATAATATTTGCGACATTTGATTAAATTCGACCGATACATATACCTTAAGATGTCTAGTGCTTGCATTCGGATAAACCGATTTTAACACAAAAGATTTTTTGATAAAATAAAAGTTGTGATCGATGTTTTTATACAATAGTAATTTTTGGGAAACAATTTCATCATAGAGTGAGCTTTTATTAACTTCTGATTTGAAACAGAAGATTTACTGAATTCAACGT